GGGGAGTTGCTCAATCCACAGGCTCCTTTCCCAGAGCCCTCTGGGGAGACAGAGTGAAATGAGGCCCACCCCTGTTGCTGCCCGCAAGAGGGAGCTGATCACCCTGAGCTGATAACCCCTAGGAGCCCCCTTCCTTGCTGAGACCTTGGGCCTGTGGAGGCCACCACAGGATACAGCGGTGCTTTTTAATTTATTTTTAACATTTTCTCATATGTAGCAACCCCTCCTCCCCTCCTGAGCATGTTTACACAGGCTCTGCTCCCTGGGGCTGGCCTGACTGCAGTTTCTGGGGAGGTAGAGGCAGGGACTTTGGGGCCTTAGTCACCATCCTTGGTTTCACCTCATCTACTTCCTGTGAGGAACAGGGGTCTGGCTCCTGACTCAGGACTGCCTTCCATCACCCAGTGGGGGCTCCTCTGCCCCTAGGGGTGGGAGCTGCTGGCTGAGGAGGGCCCAAGGTGAGGTCAGAGAAAGCTGCTTAATGAAGGTGGGTCGGGGTGGCGATGACCGCTCCCCAAAGCCCGGCTCCTTGTGCTCAGTGCCAGCTCAGAACACTGGGAGACAGTGTTTAGAGCACCTTCCTGCCCACCTTAACTGCCAGTCCTCTCCCTCCCATGGCCTCAACACAGTCATGTTCCCCTCATGCCAGACCCCATCCTTCTTGGGTGTGGCCAAGTGGGGAGGGTAGCAGCCCCCCAGCCCAGGTACCATGAAGCCTAGGGCCAGGGTTCCAAGGAGCAGAAGGGGCCCAGAGGTTGGCTGTGTCTGATGTCTGACCCTGTCTGCCAGCACACGCCCCATTCCTTCCATCTTGGACTTGACCTCCTGGCTCCGAGCTAGGGTCCAGTTCTGGTCAGCAGCGTGCCCAGAGGCCCATGTATCTGTGTGCACCCTGGGTCCCCTGCCTGAGTAGCTTTTTGGCTTTGATGTAACATCCCCAGGCCCACCCTCTGGCCTCGAAGTACGGGAAGGCGCAAAGCTGGGCTGGCACACTGACTGCATTCTTTGTGCCAGAGCACCCTGTGCTGCAATCTCTACTTGTTCCTGCTGAGAAACCAGCTGAAGGGTGGGAGGGCCTCTGGAGTGTGGGGCTGGAGGGGTCCTGCCCCAGGCCGCACAGGGCTGCTGTGGTGCTAGCTGCACGCTCAACAGTGTTGACCTCCGTGCCACATCCTGGTGTTCCTGGGTCCCAAGTTCCCCTTTCTCTGGTGTGCTTGGCCTCAGGGGCCTGGTGATGGGAGATTCCCCTCCCTTAAGCTTTGTGTTGGGCTGCCTGTGGGACCAGACTTTGTCCTTCCTGCTCTTCCCGTGTCAGTATTGTTCTCTCCCCTCTCACTTTTACACCCCTCTCATTGCTGTGCTCAATTTTTTCCTGAAATGAATAAAGGCTCCCAGCTCCGGTTGCACGGGCTGGGCAGAAACCACATGGAAGCCTAGTCTCCTTTCCCCTGGGAGCCACGCCTGGAGCCTGGCCACCCACCAGTGTCAGCCTCGGTGGTTCCAGAAAAAAACCTGACCAGAGGTGAGGGGAGCCCGAAACTAGCCAACAGGAACCCTTAAGGCCTCTGAAGTCAGGGTGACTCCTGAGGTCCCAGACTGTCACCCTCAGCCTGCTGAAGCCGCTCCACTCCTGTTGATCCTACCCTGGGAGATCTTTCCCACTGGCTGTAAATGAACCCTTCTCCCTCACACAGCCCGCTTGAGCCCCGCAGGCCAGCACCTGCTCCTCCTATCCCAGTCCCTAACAGGTCCCCAGCAGTCCCCCGGAAACAGAGGAGGAAGGATGAGTATTCCCCTAGGAGGGAAGGTTATTTCAGGAAACCACAGCAACAGGGATCTGAAGTCCCTTCTCAGCACCATCGCCCACAATTTCGCTGCAGAATCAATGGTGGCTAAAGCCACAGCCTTGGAAAACACCTCTGATTCCACTCATCGTCCCTGCTCCCTCCAGCTCTGGGCCCCTTCCGAACAGTTGCAACCAGACTTGCACAGAAATAGCTTTAGACTCCACAGCCTTACTTTTCACCTGTACCCTTCCTCTCCCTACCCTCTCATTTGGCTGAGAGTAAAGCCTGGACTTGAAAGAAGAGGTAGGGCATTTACCCCTCCTCATCCCAGCCAATCCCCATCAAGTCTTAGCTAGAAGTGTAGTTTAGCACAACAGGGCTCCCTCACTTTCAGTGGCATCGTGGTGAGGCATGGCACCTGGGAAGAGAAGAAGCAGTCTGCTCAATCCATGAACATCTTAGACTGTAGACCATCCGACAGAGGCTGTTTTGTTACTTACGGGTTCATTTAAGTCCAATTTAAAGGATACCAAATAAAGACCTTTCAACAGAGGTAACCAGAATCTGTGAATAACATGGATTGTACACCTTTACCCAAAGGCAACATTATAATGTACACACTCATGTCCACCTAAGATACCAAGTAAAGGACCTGTGGATAGACTTCAGCGACACGGGCTAATACACAGAGAGCCCGTGGATTGCTCATGTACAAATGAGGGCTGGGTCAGTGCTGGAGCCAGTCTGTCATGAGTCCAACAGGCTCACTGTGGACACTGCTTAGAATTGACATACAGGTAAATGTCATCGTGGACTTCCAGGAGGATCAGGGCCCAGCTTATGGGGGCTGGGGGGTTACCTCATTTCCTGCTGCCCTGTTTCTTTCAGGCTCTCAGCAGGTCCCAGCCTCATTTAGGCCCATGACTAATTTGTGTTGGACTTTTGGATGCAGGTGGCACTTCTTGGAGCCCTGAACACGAAGAGGTTGAAAGCCCTGTCATCCCCATCTACCAGGATCTGACCTCTTGACTGCTACTGTGGAGGGCAACGGTGACAAGAGGTGATCATACCAAGGCCCAAGCCAACTGGCCCAGGTAGTCTTCAGTGTTTGCCAAGTGGGTTAGAGGACCCACTGCTGAGGCTTGGCAGGTGGTGGAGATGGGCCACCTCAGGTCGGCTGAAGGAACAGCTCTCTGGGGATGTGCACTTCCTCTAAGTCCCAACAAGAAAGGGCTTGGTCATGGGAAAGACAACCTCCCAGAATTTAAATTTAAGTGTAGAGACGCCACTCTTCTCTCCACAGCTGTGTGAGGCCTCGGGGGCAGAGGAACTGAGGAGGGATGGGGCAGGAGGCAGAATCCCCTTAGAAACACATTCAGTTCCCATTCTCCTAAGTGGGCCTACATCTACACCCTACCAGGCTCTCTCGTCTGGCTGGTCCCTGCCTGTAACAATTTTGTTTTCATGCATTTGCTCAGGAGGGAAGAAACAGAGGGGAAAGGCATACCAGGATGAGTCTGGAAGCGTTGGGGCCGCAGGTCCACTCTCCTTGGGTGGAAACTAGAGGAGGTGGGCCCCTCCAACTCCTAGGAAAAGGGAGGCCACACTACACATTACATAACCAATCAAAAGTAACCCTTCAATTAGTTGCTACACCAGGGCAAGAACTGGAGAGAAAAGGTTTAAAGACAAAAACCAGCAGCAGCAGCAGCAGCAGCAGGCTGGTCGATCATTTCTCCTTCACCCCCATGTGTCCGCCGTACAAGATAACCTGTCTCTCCTACCCCAGGAAAGGCTGTGGTTCTGAGGAGTTTGGGGAGTCAAGGAATTTGGGAATTCAGTTTCCTCAGATGTAAATAAGGTAACGTAGGAACAGCTGCACCTGCCACCGCGTGGTACTATCATCGTCTGTGGACAGTGGGTGTGGAAGCACTGCTTAAACTTACTAAAAGTCTGTGCAAATGTTACGCGACTCAGGAAACCCTCCAGGCTGGAAAGGTCTCTGGGCATGCACCTCAAAGCCTGGAGCTGTGAAAGAACTCCTCGCCTCTGGGCAAACCACGCAGCCAGATCGGGGAGAACTACCCACCCTCAGCTCCTGCCAGTGACACTCTGCAAGTCTTAGTCCCTTGCTTGCCAAAGCCCAACACCACTATTCCAGAGCCGACAATTCCTCACAAGCTTCCAAGGATTATTACTTTAATTCCCATTTCACCAAGATTTTGAAACACAAGGGCTTAACTTACCCACAGTCACCAAATGATCAGGCCAACGTGACAAGTAGTGTTCCTTATCCCTGGCTGTTTTCTTTCGACTGGATCCCAACCTGGGTGGTTCAACAGAAGCACCAGGTAACTTTAAATAATTGAGATGCTCAGGCTGATTCAGAGGTGTGGGGTCTGGAATTCCATTGAGGTAAGGCAGGAAGCCACACCTGGTTTCAGGGTTTCACGTGGCCATGTGGGCTTCATGGACCTGCTGCACAAGGGAGCTGGAGGAAAACGAAAGTACCGGCAGAGTGAGGCCCAGGAAGGAAACCTTTCCAGCAACAGATGGCCCACAGTCCAGCTCTGGCTCCACAGTGCAAAAGAGATGACCAGAAACAGACACTCAGCAAGTAGCAACTGCCACACACGTCGTGCCTCACACAGCGGCCGTGGCTTTGACCAGGAAAATACTTCTCACCCCACGTTCGGCACAGACCCTCCTGAAATGCATGTGGACCAGGGGTATGGTAGTAGCAGATGGAATGGGAATGAAAGAAGCTGAAAGAGCTGTTCTCTAGCTTGGTGAGGAGGGAGAAGAGAGCTAGACCCCAACAAAAGGCAGGGCACGAGGTTTCTTCAAGCCCTGCTCTCCCAGGCCTCAAAGCAGCGGGAATACGTGTCAGTTATCACAGGACGATTATACCTTTCTCCGGTTGAGATTCAGGACCTGAGAGCCCAGCCCAGGATGTCTCTTCCTCTTGGCCACCTCACTCTCCAGACCTTCTCCCCCATCCTCCCCTGCCCTTCAGGATCCTAACAAATGACCAACAGCAGGGGGGAAATGGTAAACCTTTATTTGGAAAAGAGAGCTTAAATGACCACTTAAAACCCCCACTTCAATTCCAAAACAGAAACAAATAAGAAAACAAGGAAAAGATAATATATAAAACTCCTGCCCTCTGCCATCTTGAGCCATTTAAACCACATTTCCTGGCAGAAGAGAACAGTGATAGGCCATAGTCCTGACAACCAATAGGGCACTGACTTAAGACCATCTCAGGAGGCACCCGGGGAGAGACAGAGTGAACGATGGGTGGGGTGTGGACAAGTGGGCCTGGGGCTCAGACAGGCACATGCCCAGTACCCAGGAAACAATGTTCAGAAATATACACGCACAGATAAATTCCCCAGTACCTAGGCACAGAAAGCTTATAACCATGAACACAGCAGCAGAATTCAAGCTGGGTCTTTGGCTTTCAGAAAAAAAAAAAAAAAAAAAAAAAAAAAAAAAAAAAAAAAAAAAAAAGGGAGAGAACCTCTGGCTAACTGTCCCTAACTCTAGCCGCTCAGGTACCCCCTTCAGTCCCATTCTGAAGGCCAAGCAGGGCAACAGCAAGGCCAGTCTGCAAGGTCCAGCAGCTACTCTGGGAGGACCAGCTGGCCCGGTAACACCTAGGCTGTACCCCAGCTATGAAAGATTAAGGCATGCAGGTGACACAGGGGGGGCAGGGCAAGGCCATGAATGGGCCAGGGTAGCCCTGTGCTAGAGGGGCAACACTGGCAATGAGCAGCTGAGGTCTTGCCAGCAGGAACAAACCCTAAAACACTGCCACCTTGACTTCTTGGACAGGCTTTGCCCAAGGCCACCTTCTGCAGAGAGGGTTTGGCCTGAGCTGAATACCTGGCTTTTCTAGAACAAAATGGAAAGGAAGGGGGGAGGGAAGGAGGTAAAAAGAGGTGGGAGGAAAGGAACAGAAAACTACTTCTGAGGTATGCAGAGGAAGAGAACAAGTCCCTGAGGTCTTGGGTCCCAGCTGAGGCAGCTGCACAGCCTGCCAGCTCTTTCCCCTACCAGGACTCCCACCCTTGCCCCAGTTCCGCAGGGGGCAGAGTCCAGCAAGACAAGAGTTTCTTCAAGGTTCTTTCTCATCCTTTTAAACCTCAAACTACTATTCCAGCCCACTGACTCCATACAGGGGTTCAAACTTTTGCCTTTCTCACAGCAGCCTGGGGAAAGGGACAAGCCCTAGAGAAAGCATGCCAGGCCTTTGGGGAGCTCTGGGTTGGAGGCTCGGAGGCAGCTGGGGGCAGGCAGCACATCCCTGAATCTGCTGCTCCAGGCTGTGTGTCCCATTCTTTCCCAGAGCCCAGATGATGAGGATGCCCTGGTTGGCATGATGTGAATGCCTAATGAGACACACAAGATAAAAGGGGAGAAGGGCCCATGCTCCTGCTGCTGCCTGGCAACACACAGCAGCCAGGTCATGCTCTCGACCTGCCCCTAGGCTGACAGCCCCCGTGTGGAAAGTGGGCTGATCAGAGGCAGGCACGCTGTACAGAGCAGTCCCACCCCGAGAGGACACACATGCACACTACGCACATCTCACATGTGTACGGGCCTGGCAAGAGGGCTGGGCCCAGAGGTCAGGAAGGCAGGAAGAACACTGGGTTCGAAGATACCATCAAGAAACGGCCTGAAAGCAAATAACCAATGAGATCAATAGCTCCCGCAACCCTGGTAATTAAAAATCAAGGGGGAGCACTGGATACATGGAAGGAAGGGGGATCTCCCCTTCGGCCTCTCCCAGGGCCACTGAGTATGTGGCACAGGATTAGGAAGAGGTTGGGGTGGGCAGGGACCACAGGCAGAGAACGTGGACAGGCCTGGAGAAAATCTAACCATAGGAAAAAGGTAACAGGGTAGGGGAAGGGAGGGGAGGGGACGGAAGTTTCTTGGATCTAAGTTTCCAAAAGCATGGGGTATTTCCACAGTCTCTGATCCAGTGAACTCTTCCGGAAGAGAAGCTCTCTTCCCCTGGGAGTCCCGTCATGGGGCGATGACTTGCATCCCAAAGCTGGCCAGCAGGCAGAGGTGGTCTGAAGAGCAGAAGGGGTTGGGTAAGCCGTTGGCAGCCCAGAGAATCTCTTCAGAGAGGAGGGAGAGACGGCCCAGAAGTTTGAGAGTCCCATCTTGACACAGCCTGCGATCTGGGGCACAAAGCAGAAGCCAGTGGAGAAAGCAGCCACAGGTCACTGCATGGGGGTGGCTGGGGCCTGTGGGAGCTACACAGGGAGGCTGCATCCCCTTGATGCCTCACCCTCCCTCACTTCCCCTGCTGCCTGTGGCTGAGGCCTCGCTTTCTCAGATACTCTGTGATACATCAATGAATTAAACAAGGTGGGTTCAGGGAAACTGCGGCAAATGGAGAACGTATGCCCAGGCTCAGCATTTACCAAATCTTCAGATTTTCCAAGAAAAGTTGGAAATCCAGACTTTCTACATAAAATCTGATTTTTCAACATAGGCAACCAATTCCAACATTTAAAAGACTTGCTTTAAATAAGATAGGCATGGGGCTGACAGACTGCTACACTGTCTGCTGGTTATCAGGGGAAGAAACAAGAAATAGGATCTCTAACTTAACCAAGCCCCTCACTAAATGGCTGCCTTGTTCAAAATCCACTTACTTCCTGGTGCTCTATTTTTACCTCTTAAATAGAGGTGGGGCTGGTCTGCCCACCTCTCTCTAATGCTGCAAAAAGAAAATGCAGGCAAATGGTCTAAGGGAATTATGATGAGGACAACCAGTGCCAGGTTAGGTATGAAATCTGCTACTTTGCGAGTCAGGTCCCAGTGGCCCAAGCCATGTGACCAAATGCCTGACCTACTATCAGCTGTTTCCAGGGACTTTTGAGGGTGGCTTCTATGAACCCAGGACCCACCAGGCTTACCAGTTCTGTTCCTATTCTCACAGGACTCAGCTGAGAAGAAGATGTAATCCACTGTTGTTCCAAGACCCAAGGGCATTGTGGTGACCTCTGGGCGGCCATGCTGGGGCAGGAAATGAGTATATACCGAGGTCAGGTGAAGACAGTGCTGGATGGTACCTACAGTCCTACAGGGATGAAGGAGAAGATGTCGGTCAACAAACATTGAACGTTTCTCAAAGTCACTTTCTCTGTGGGTTTTATAAAGTTTTTTAAGAGACGATCCCAAATAACTCCATCTCAGCAAATTACTTCCCATGCTAATAAGAGGCAGATGGTCTTAGCTAAAATTAGCCTAGAAACAGACACATTTATACTCAGTCCCCCTGACTTTCCTTACCCCACTCCCTAACTCTCCTATTACCTGGTAAAGTATGTATACCTAATGTGCCCCTGTCCGGGGAAGGGGGGTGGTGGGGGGCGGGGGGAGAGCAGCAAATTTTTCTGTGAAGCCTTACTCCCTCAGGAAAAGTGCATGGGCTCTTTGTCTGCAAGAACTTAAGTGAGTCACCTCTGGCCTCTGCACACCAGCGCCTCCAAAGCTTAGCACATCTTAGGAAAAGAGAGAGCTCAGCAAAAAGTGTCCCCCTCAATCAGCCTCAGGAGAGCCAATGAGAATCTCATACACTCAGGGGCTAATAAGCAAGCTGAGGGGAATTGGAAGGAAGATCACCTGGGCAAGACAGGCTCAGGCTCCAATGTGTCTTCCTCAAGGACAGACTCAGCCCAGCCAGCAGGTCGCTCTGTAGAAGACCAGAGAAAAAAGGTTTTATTCTTCACATACAGTTAAGAAGGGTCAGAACCTTGCACCCTGAAATCTTTCTCAGATCCTTGACCGGACTCCAAAAGGGAAAAGGAGAAATAGAAGGTGATGGGAGAAAGTAACAATGGACCAAAGTCAAGAACCACAGGAAGGCAGACAGAGGCCTTGAACACAAGACATTTCTTCCTTGGCTCGGCACCTCTTCAAATAATTTATTTAAATTTATTCTTTAGAACAGGTAATAGAGTAACATGGTATAAAAATCAAAATGTAGAGAAAAATATCAGTGAAAAGTTTCCCTCCCACTCTGGGACTCCTGCCAATTTCCCTCTCGAGAAGCAACCAATGTTACCAAATTCCTGGTATATTCCTTCAGAGATTTTCTATCACACACCATCTGTTATGTGTATATACACGTATGTGCTCATACACATATGTGCACATACCATATAACATGTATGTATAAACACTTAAATACACATAAATATGTACACACACATAAAGAAAAAAGATAAATATCCAATATCAGTTAAGAAAGAGGGGATATTATTACAGAGCCTACTGACATTAATAGGTGTTATAGACTGAATGTTTGTATCTCCCCAAAGTATGTTGCAGTCCTAATCCCCAATGAGATGGTATTTGGAAGTGGGCCTTTTGGAGGTAATTAGGTCATGAGGGTGGAGCCCTCATGCATGGAACTAATGCTCCTATAAAAGGAATCCCAGAGAGTTCCCTCACCTGCTTTCCACCATGTAAGGACACAAGAAGTCAGCACTCAGCAACCCAGAAGAGGGCCCTCACCAGAACTAGACCATGCTGGCACCCTGATCTTGTACTTGGAGCCTTCAGAATTGTGAGAAATAAATTTCTATTGTTTATAAACCATCCAGGCTGTGGTATTTTGTTATAATAGCCCAAACTGATTAAGACAAAAGGATACAAGGATCAATAAAACTGACAAACCCTTAGCTAGAATGACCAAGAAAAAAAAGACTCATTACTAAAACCAGGAATGAAAGGGCCACTGCTACCAATCTTACAGAAATCTTTAAATCAGGAGAATACTGTAAACAACTGCTTATAACCAACAAATGAGAAAACTCAGATGAAATACAAATTTCTAAAAAGACACAAACTATGTAAACTGATTCAAGAAAAAATAGAAAATCTGAATAGCCTGTAAGGAAAGAAATTGAATTAGTAATTTTAAAACTTCCCACGAAGAAAAGTCTAGGACTAGATGGCTTCGCTAATGAATTCTGCCAAACATTTAAAGAAGTAATACAAAACCTTCACAAACACTTGCAAAAAACAAGATGGGATACTTCCCAACTGATGCTATAAGGTGTTACTCAGTTAATCAAAATTAGACAAAGACACCACAAAGAAAACTACAGAATATCCCCTGTGAATGTACATGCAAAATTCCTCAAGGACTGTGATACTGTGATTTATAAGAAATATTTATTCGGCCTCATCCACAGTTCCTGGCTCATGGCTCCCCAAACCCTTAGAATATCCTGAGATGAGCGTGATAAAGGTGTCTTTTGTTATATTATGAGGTGACTTTTGGAAAGCACTGGAAGATGGGAGCTGGTTACCAGAAAAACCAACCTGTTATTAGAGGGTTGGAACTCTCTGTCCCAATTCCCTGAACCTCTGGGAACTCTCTGTCCCAATTCCCTGAAGGGAGCGGGGCTGGAGTTTGAATCACCAATGGCCAATGATCTAATCAACCCTGCCTACATAATAAAGTTTGTCAGAGAGCTTCCAGGCTGGTGAATACCATGGAGATTTGGAGAGAATGGCATGCCTAGAGAGGGCATGGAAGCTTCCCAAATACCTTGCCCTATGCATCTCTTCCATCTGGCTGGCTGTTCCTGACTTTTATCCTTTTATAATAAACCGGCAATCTAGTGAGTAAAATGTTTCTCTGAGTTCTGTGAGCCATTACAGCAAATTAATTAAAGCCGAGGAAGGAGAGGGTCATGGAAACCTCTGATTTATAATAGTCAGTTGGTCAGCAAGTACAGGTAACATCCTGGACGTATGACTGGCATCTAAAGTCCATGGAGGGGGTTGTTGGAACCTATAGTTTGTCAGAAGCACAGGCTGGGCTTGTGACTGGTGTCTGAAGTTGGGGAAGGGGGCAGTCTTCCAGGGCTGAGCCTTTATTTAACCTGTGGAATCCGATGCTCTCTGGGCAGATGGTGTCAGAATAGAATTGAATTGTTGATGTGGGAGGAAACTCCCATCTTCCCAACGTTGGAAATTAAGTTTCAGAGCACCAAAAGAACATTATATTAACAAACCAAATCCAGCAAAATATAAAAATGATTACATACTATGACCAGTTACAATTTATCTTAGGAATGTAAAGTTGGTTTAACATCTGAAAATCAATTAATGTAATACATATATTAATAGAATACTGAAGGACAAAAACCACATTTCCATCTGAGCACACACAGAAAAAAACATTTGGCAAAATTCAACACCCTTTATGAAAAAAAAAAAAAAAACACACATAAAAAACTAGGCACAGAAGAGAACATCTCCAACTAGATAAAGGGAACCCACAAAAACTCCAGGGCTCACACCACACTTAATGGTGAAAGATTGAAAGCTCTACCTCTACGGTCAGGAACAGGACAAGGATGTCCACTTTCACCACTCAACATTAATGAGGCCTAGCCAGGGCAATCATGGGAAAGAAGAAATAAAAGGCATCCAGATTAAAATGGAAGCAGTAATGCTGTTTCTGTGTGCACGATGACTTAATCTTATATACAGGAAATACTCAGAAATCCACTAAAAAACCATTCGAATAAATGAGTTCTCAAGACTGCAACATACAAGCTCAATATACAAAAATTGCATTTCTATACATTAGCAGTAAAAATCCAAAAATGAAATGAAGAAAACATTTCTATTTATTTACGATATCAAAATGAATATGATAGATAGTACTAAATTTCACAAAAGTGTTAAGACTTACACACTGGAAACTACAAAACATGGGAAGAAATGAAAGATCTAAATAAATGGAAAGACATTCATATTCACTGGTCATCAGACATTATTTAAATGCCATACTTCCCAAACTAACCTACAGATTTGTAGAAATCTATCAAAATCCCAGCTAGCTTCTGTGCAAAAATTGACATACCTACCCTAAAATTCATATAGAAATGAAAAGGACCCAGAATAGACAAAATAATCTGGAAGATGACAAAGTTATAGGACGTACACTTTCCTATTTCGAACTTATACAAAGCCAAAATCATCAAGACAGTGTGGTACTGGCATAAGGATAGACATAGATGAATGGAACAGAATGGAGTGTCCAGACACCCATATGGCCATGTTCAATTAATTTTTCACAAGGGAAAGAAGAGTGGAAAATGACAGCTCACAGATATAGGGGTTCCTTTCACGAGTGATGAAAATGTTCTACAATTAGACTGTCAAGATGGTCACACAATTCTGAATAAAGCCACTGAGTTATACACCTTAAATGGGTAGATTTTATGGTATATGAATTTCAATACAACAAAGCTGTAAAAAGGGTATTAAATAAATCTTACTCTAAGTTTATTTTTGAGAGAGTGCGTGCACGCACAAGCAAGGGAGGGGCCGAGAGATAGGGAGAGAGAGAATCCCAAGCAGGCTCTGCACTGACAAACAGCGAGATCATGACCTGAGCTGAAATCAAGAGTCAAACACTTAACCAACTGAGCCACCCAGACACCCCTATTTTCTAATTCTGTTGGCTGGAATCTCTGAACACAGTTGAATAATGACAGTGACCATCCTTGTCTTACTCCTGACTCTGACAGGGATGCTACTCCAGTTGTCTTCTTTTAAGCAAGACGCTGATTTTTGGAGCTGAGATAAATGCTGTGGTTTGGTTTTGGTATCATTTTTAATTTTCAGGCCTGCAGTGGCTCCATTCCCTCCTCCCGCTCCTGACCTCTGCGGTGCAGGCTGCCGCCACACACTCCGACTGACCAAGATTATTTTAATGGTGTAAGAGATTACAGGCATACCTCAAAGATATTATAGGCATACCTCAAAGATATGGCGGGTTCAGTTCCAGACCACAATAGAGTGCAAATAAAAGTTATGTTTATACTGTACTGTATTTTAAATGTGCAACAGCATTATGTCTAAAAAAACCAATGTACATACCTTAATTAAAAAATATTCTATTGCTAAAAACTGCTAATGATCACATGAGCTTTCAGCAAGTCATAATCTTCTTGCTGGTGGAGGGTCTTGCCTCAATGTCAATGGCTGATGACTGATCAGGGTGGTGGCTACAAACGATTTCTCTGTAGCATGTGATGCTGTTTGATAGAACTTGTTCCCACAGAACTTCTTTCAACACTGGAGTCAACACTCTCACACCCTCCTGCTGCTTTATCAACTAAGTTCAAGGAATATTCTAAATCTTGTGATGTCAACAATCTTCACAGCATCTTCACCAGGAGTAGATTCCATCTCAAGAAACCCCTTTCTTTGCTCATCCATAAGAAGCAACTCCTCATAAGTTAAAGTTTGATCATGAGATTGCAGCAATTCAATCCTATCTTCAAGCTCCACTTCTTTTTTTAATTTTTCTTAATGTTTATTTACTTACTTTTGAGAGAGAGAGCAAGAGAGAGCAAGAGAGAGCACGAGCACAAGATGGGGAGGGACACAGAGAAAGGAGACACAGAATCCAAAGCAGGCTCCACGCTCTGAGCTGTTAGCACAGAGGCCGATGCGGGGTTTGAACTCACAAACCGTGAGATCATGACCTGAGCTGAAGTCAAACACTTAACCGACTGAGCCACCCAGGCGCCCCTTCAGGGTCCACTTCTTTCTAATTCTAGTTTTCCTGCTGTTTCCACCCCATCTGTAGTGACTTCCTCCACTGAAGTCTCAAACCCCTCAAAGTCATCCCTGAGGGCTGGAATCAACTTCCAAGCTCTG